GAAGATTACAAATATGGTCGCAACGAGGATTGATATAGGTCATCATGCTTCTAACTACTCCAATTCTTCCCTACCCAATTACTAAATTAATTCTAGTGGTCCAATTAATCCGATTAATAGCGGCTTTGTTTTAGTTACGAAAATTAAAAATTATTTTAAAACACATCTATCGTAAAACTGTCTTTCACCGACTAGTATCTATCGTTTTTTTTTTTTTTTTTTGCCACTTTTAGCTCTTCGAGTACTCTACCCTTTGCTTAGAATGTGTTTGTGTACTGTTCCGTTAACCGTAATTCACTTTTTTTTTTAGTCTATCAATATGTTGTTACTTCTTTGTCTTGTATTTTGGAATGCACAAACAAACGTTTGATATCTTTCTAATAATAATTTAAACACACACTTAATTTACACATTTCATTTCTTTCCACAATAAATTGTTATTAATTTTTTATTTTTAAAATAAATTGTCCATGTTGACTCAGGTCCCAAATTTGTCACTTGTATATATAATTACATGGTTTAAATTTATTATTCTCATTCTCACATAAGAATTCATTCATATAAAATTTGTCCTTTCTCTACATATAAATAATGAGGGAGAGAGAGTAAGAGTGAAAGGATCTTTCTTGAGTACGTAAGAATAAGAGAAATAAAATGGTTTTCATTTACATATTTTTAAAGATTTAGCAAATATGCTTATTTGAGGGTTTCATTTTTTATTTTCAAAAATTAAAAAATAATGAAAATTAGTTTGGTTTATTTATTTATTTTTTAATAAAAGCATGCTCATATTATTTCAAATTAGTGTTTACAATACAGGACATGGTCAGGTTTGTAGAGTAAGGATAATGATTAAACTTACATGTTCTTGTAATAATGCGAGTCATTAGGTTGACTTGTCTTTTAATTGATATAGGTCTAAGGAAGGTTTTACATTTATACATGATGGTTCCATATTCAGTGGTGTTGAGAGATTTGTTATAGATGTCATATGTGACTTGTTTACGATCATTTTCAATGAAGACTTGATGGTGACCTTCCCATTCACTTACTTTTGGCATGTAGAGTAGAAAGGCTTTTACAAAGTGTTCCTTATTGTCTCTCAAGCATGCACCCTAATCCAAAGCTTTTGTTTTAAAGGAAGAATGCAGCATTGATGTTGCATTTCAAGTAACCTCCTGAAGGGAGGGGCCATTTGGTGGTGTATTAGCTTTGTTGTTTGTGGTCGATAGTCTTGTACAAGTTTTGCTTTTCTTGATTTGTGCAAGATGTCTTTGGCAGCTTGGATAGTGTTTCTTGGAAGGTTTATTGCCCCAAAGGGCAGCATTTCTACTTCTTCAAATACTCCATATGGTCATTGATTAAGTTGGAGACGTGAGTTTCCATTTTCACTTCACAAAAATCGGTGATTACTGCTTTGAAGGAGTATGCGTTGGAGTCTTCAAATACAAAGATTTATATTCAAATCATAATTAATTTTTCACTCCTTTAAAACAAAAATAAAAAATAAAATCTTTGATTGAAAATTAATTTTTAAAACTTTTAAAATTAATTTTGAATGACAAAAGTTACCAGCACAAATGATTTGATATTTATGTTCATTTGTAATTAGTATTTTAGTCATTGTAGTGTACTTGTTAAATGTTTATTATATATAACTAAAATTTATAATAAATTATATACAAATAATGATTATATTTGAATATATAGATCATATTAAAAATTTATATTAATAGATATTTAAAATATATAAATTATATTTTAAGTTTATGATAAATAATATATTATAGAATAATATTATTTTTATTTATTAATAATTTATTTTAAAAATTTAATTCATAAATAATTATAAAAATAAAAATCGAATTAGATAAGAAGTTAAAAAGAATTTATAAAAAATTTCTTGTTAAAGAAAAAATCTTAAAATGTTCTAACGCCCGAATTAAATAATAAGTTAAGTTATTTTAAAAAAGCTCTCTTGTTTAAAAAAGAAGTCCTAAAATTTGTATAAAATAAAAATTCATAATTAATATATAAGAGTTAATCATTAAAGTTCAAATTTTAATTTGGGCCTATAATTTGGGCCTAGTTTTGTGATCATATGTGTCACTTTACCCTTAAATGGGCTAACCTAATTGAAAAGAGTTATTTTTTAGTTATTTCAAAAAAATTAGAAGTTTTGATTGACTACATATCTTTCTCTCATTATAAATTAAAATGGTTATCTTAAAAGAAAATATTTTTATTGGACTATTATTTAACGAGAGTGTTTTATGGATTTTTTTCTCAAGCTTTCATCTATTGCAATTTATCAATAATTAAAAATAAATATGAGAGTATTTTTAGTTTTAAACTAAATTTCATTATTTTTTAAATTACCGATAATTGAAAATAGCTTTGCATTATACTATAAATTATTTATTATAAGTATAAAATACAATTTATATGTTTAAAAATATTTAGTTATTATAAATTTTAATTATATTATAATTTGAACATTTAAAATTATTTATTATAAAATTATAACTATATAAAATAAGGATTTAGCTCTTCTAAAATAAATGAGTGTATTTTAGAAGATAAAGTGCACTCACAATTGTTGATTAAAAAATTAATAATTGATAATCACGATAAAATAAAATACATATATAATAAGATTTAAAATTAATTAAAATATCTATTGTTGATTTTTTAATAAAAAATTATTATTACAATTTATCCTCTAAAGTAAAATCCCTTCACTTTAAAATACTCAAATCCATAAAATAAACATTTATAATGTTTATGTGCATGTGCTAAAATATTACATTATATATTATTTGATATTTTCATAATCAATAAACTAAAATTTTGAATACTTCTTAAATATACATGTTTTCATATGTATTTGTAAATATATAAAAAAAAATTCTATATATATATAAGGAGGAATTCATTTATTCCAAGAATAAGTCTAATGTTCTACATCAATTTTCAACGATCCAATCGTTGAATTTAAACTTTTTAATACATAAATCAAATCTGTAAATTTTTTAAAAATTTAAAAATCATTTGATACTTCGTTTCGTTAATTCAAATAAATGTATAAAATGATTTCATGATTATCCGTCAATTTGAATGAATAAAATGAAGTATCAAATGATTTTCAAATTTTTTAAAAATTTGTAGACTTAATCTATGCATTAAGAACTTTAATTTCAACGGTTAGATCGTTAAAATTTGATGTAGAACATGAGTTATTGAACAGAGTAAGTACTTACTCTTGGAGTAAACGAATCTCTCTTTCTCTCTCTCTCTCTCTCTCTATATATATATATATATATATATATATATATATCATAAACCCCAATTTATTCATTTTCATGCTTGATATAACTAATTATTCTCTTTATTGAATAATTAATGTTGTGTAAAAAAAATAACTCTTGAAATGTGTTATTTTTGCTTTCTAATGAAATGTTATTATTTTTTATTTGTACTCTTACTATTACAGGATGTATTATTTACATCAATTCTCTAAAATCATCTACGTCAATTCTAAAATCAGTGTAGAATAAAATGACTTAGAAAATGGATACACTTCTACATGAATTTTTAAACTGATGTAGATTATGCATAATTTACATCGATTTTGTTGGAAAACCAATGTAAATATATACTTAAATCTACATTGATTTTCTTCATAACTGATGTAAATTTATACATAAAGCTACATCGATTCTTGCCTAAACTGATGTAGATTTATGTATAAATTTACATTGGTTATGATGAAAATCAATGTAGAATGTACATCCCTATCTACATTTGTTCTCACCTCAACCAATGTAGATTGATATTTTTTTTAAAAAAGATCTTCTTTAGTTTTAGATTCTTTCTGATTTAACCTGCAATGAATGTATGTATAATTCTTAGACAATTTTTTAATCTATATATAATGAAAAAATATCTTGAATCAAGATTAACTTGGCTACTAAATGACAACAACAAAAATCACACTAACAAATTCAAGATCCTCCCCAATAATGCCTTACCAACATGAACCAATTGACTCTTAAATCAACAATAATATAGAAGACAAGAAATATATGTGGTCTACCTATTCTTGCAATATGAGTGCCTAAAATATATATGATTACTGTTATTCTTCTATACCACTATAAATTTAAAGAAAATAAGAGAGACAACAATTTAGCCAATACAACATTTATAGCCCCTCATTTAAACTTGCAATTTATGCAACTAGTAAAAAATATATGAACAGATAATTAAACCATGCTAAGAAAAATGCCATAGAAAATTCATGAAAATCAATAACATATATAACAGTCAATTTATATTCATAAAAACAATTGCAATTACTAAAAATCAACCAACTTTTTTTGAATAATAAAATGAAACCACAAAGGCACTAACCAACGAATACTAGTCAAGACATGCAATATGAAAATAGATGCAAGTAAAAGTATTTAAAAAAGAAATGCTTTAAGTCAACATATGCACACCCTTTAAGTCATAACTTTTGGTGGAAAGCTTCTCCAACTCGGTGATGCACTCTGTACTAGAGAACCTTTTATTATTAAGATTATCATGTCTTAATCAAGATTAAATAATAAGAGTTTATGATAATCATAATCAGAACATAAAGCCTATAGATTGTTAGGCTATAGATTGGAAAGGCCCATCAGGCCAAAATACATCATTATAAATACTATTGATGTGACAGAAAGACGGGTATGATTATTTAATACTGTAGCATTCATTGCTCCAAACCAAACACTGACTTGAGCGTCGGAGTACCTTTGCAGGTACCTTCCCCCACCCTCCGAGGACAGTATCCGGTCTGCACCGAAGACAGAAGATCAAGAAGGAACGACGAGGAGTGTTTCTAAGCAGGAACATTTTGGCGCCCACTGTGGGGCAGAAACCGAAACGGTTCTCGACCCTGAAGTAAGATGGTAGCAACAAGGAGCCAGTAAGAGAACGCAACCCACCCCTTCGGGATGCCCCGAGATACCACCAGACAGCAGACTAATCACAATGAGGAAGGGATGGAGGAATCCTATGTAGATCGATCTCAACCCCCCAACCCATCATCAGCCATAGAACAGTTGAAGGCCGAAATGCTGGAATTGAAGAGACTTCGGGAGAAGGACGCACACGAGCTGTCACTCCTAAGGAAGGAGAATGCGAAACTTAGGAGCGACAATCGTTCCTGGCATCCATCCCGCGGCACCCCCAACACTCAGTTAACGCATGACCAAGGGGAATCATCAGGATGGTATAAGGAGACAAGCAATCCTCGGCCTCCCGGCGGAGCGACGAAGACGACCATGGATCAGCAACGAAGGCAAGGGAAGACGCCATTCACTCCAGACATTGCCGGAGCCCGGTTGCCCGACAATTGGAAGAACTTGGGCTTAGAAAAGTATGATGGAACCGCTGACCTCGAAGAACACCTAGATGCATTCGTTACTCAAGTTGGGTTATACACCGATGACGACGCCATCATGTGTAAAGTCTTCCCAACCTCATTAAAAGGACCAGCACTGAATTGGTTCACAAGACTCCCCCCAGGATCAGTGGACTCTTTCACAACCTTATCCTCTCGATTCATAATACAATTCGCGACGAGCCGACCCCATCAGCTCACCTCCATCGCATTGGTCAATATTCGCCAAGATAAGAAAGAACCACTGAGAACCTTCATGGAACGGTTCGGGAAGATGACCCTATCTATCCGAGACCTAGACCCTGCAGTGGCAATGCACCACCTCACCACAGCATTAAGGCCGGGGCCCTTCGTAAATAGCCTATGTAAGAAGCCACCCCGAGACCTGGATGACCTGAGACAAAGAGCCACCAAGTACATGCAGATGGAAGAGTTGGCCGAGTTCAGGAATCAGAACCGGCCCGACCTCTTCCTTGGGAAGAAAGAAGCGGAAAAGGAGCAACCTCCAAGGTCTCGCCCTCGAGACGTGCCGGATAGGGAGAGGAATAATAGGGGACCTAGATATGCACAGTACACGCCGCTTAACACAAGCAGAGCCAAGGTGTTGGAGCAGGCCTTGGCCACAAAAGTCCTCACGGTCCCCCGTCGTGCTATGACTCCGCCTCACGCGGACAAAACCAAAACATGCCAATTTCATAGAAACAGAGGACACACAACCGAGGAATGCACAACCCTCCGAGATCTCATTGAAGATCTTGTTAAGTCAGGCCACCTTCAAAACTTCACCCAATCCTCAGGTAGAAAGAGATATGATAGCTACCATGATAAGAGGGAGTCCGGAAGGGGGAACCGTGAAAGAGCACCCCCGAGGTATAGATCACGGGAACGAAGAAAGTCTCAGGAGAGGAATGATCAGCAACGAAACCAGAATCAACCCAGAAGGGTGATAAACACAATAGCCGGAGGCTTCGCTGGAGGCGGAGCCACATCCTCGGCACGAAGGAGACACCTAAGAGCGATCAGATCGGTCAACGCAGTAACCCGGGCAAGGTCGGTCCACATGCCACCAATTACCTTCATCGACAAGGACTTCCAGGGTGTCGATCCGGTGCAAGACGACCCCATGGTCATCTTAGTAGAGATCAACAATTGTATAGTGAAGAAGACGTTGGTGGATCAGGGAAGTTCAACCGACATCTTATATTGGAAAACTTTCGAGCAGCTGGGTATACCCGAGCGCGAATTGACACCTTACAACGAGCCTTTGGTTGGATTTTCGGGCGAAAGAGTGGACACCCGGGGAACGATAGACCTATACACCTACTTCGGGGAGGAACAACAAAAACGAAGGATTAAAGTACGATATGTGGTGATGCATGCTAATACCTCGTACAACATCCTATTAGGCCGACCCTCCCTGAACAAGCTCCGAGCTATTGTCTCCACCCTTCACTTAGCTATGAAGTTCCCCTCTGAAGAAGGAACGGTTATCACTCTGCACGCCGATCAAAAGACGGCCCGCGAATGTTACTTCGCCAGCCTAAAGGTACAGCCAACTCCAAAGCCAAGGCGAGATGTTAATGTCATCGGCAATGTCTGCTAGCAAGGGCCGATTGTAGACCTAGAACTTGACCCGAGAATTGAAGACGAACACAAGGTCGAACCAATAGAAACAACAATCCCGTTTCAACTAGGGAGAAACGAAGAACAAGTGACTTACTTGAGTTCCCAACTATCAGAGGCCGAGGCAAGAAATATCAAGCATATCCTCATGAAGTACTCGGACCTCTTTGCTTGGATGACGGATGACATGCTAGGCATCGACCCAAGTTTTCACTATCACTGGCTCTCAGTGTGCCGAGATGCCAAGCCCATCTCCCAAAAGAAAAGAAAGATGGGAGGAGAAAGGGCCCAAGCCGTAAAGGAGGAGACGACCAAGCTACTCCAAGCAGGATTTATCAGGGAAGTTAAGTACTCCACTTGGTTGGCCAATGTAGTAATGGTCAAGAAGGTCAATGGCAAGTGGAGGATGTGTACCGACTACACAGATCTGAACAAGGCATGCCCAAAAGATGCCTATCCCCTACCACACATAGACGCGTTGGTCGATGGAGCAGCCGGTCACCAGAGATTAAGCTTCCTAGACGGCATACTCAGGGTATAATCAGATACCCATGTACCCACCAGATGAAGGAAAAATTGCATTTATCACCGAGTCAGCCAATTTTTGCTACAAAGTGATGTCGTTCGGTTTGAGAAACGCGGGGGCAACCTATCAGCGACTCATGGACAAGATCTTTCACCAACACATAGGAAAGTGCATGGAAGTATATGTGGATGACATGGTGATCAAATCTACCTCTGCTAATAACCACATTCGGGATCTTGGAAAAATATTCGATGAGGTAAGGCGGCACCACATGCGCTTGAACCCGGCAAAGTGTACCTTTGGAGTCGCCGGCGGAAAGTTCTTGGGTTTTATATTGTCGAGAAGAGGTATATAGAAGCTAATCCCAACAAGTGTCAAGCCATTGTCAACATGAGAAGTCCACGAAATGTGAAAGAAGTCCAACGACTTGCCGGGCGCATAGCCTCGCTGGCCAGATTCTTACCATGCATGGTAGATAAATCAAGGCCCATAATGTCCCTATTAAAGAAAACCACCAAGTTCCAATGGACCGAAGAGTGTGAGTCCTCATTCCAAAACTTTAAGACAGTGCTACCGCGCCACCACTGCTATCTAAACCGGACCCTCAATTAGACATGATCGTCTACATTGCGGTGTCCGACAAGGCCATCAGCACAGCTCTGGTACAAGAGCGAACAGAATAAATGCCAGTATACTTCATCAGTCGAGTCTTGCAAGAAGCAGAAACCCGATACCAACATCTCGAGAAAACAGTTCTGGCTCAGGTACACACAGCCCGACGCCTCCGTCATTATTTCCAAAGCCACAAAATCGTAGTCAAGATAGATAGCCCAATCGTCAAGGTCCTGAAGAAACCCGAACTCGGAGGGCGGATGGTCGCCTGGTCCATTGAATTGTCTCAATTTGACATTCGCTTTGAACCGAGAGGGCCCATCAAAGCGCAATGCATGCCTGACTTCATAAATGAATTCTCTCCGGAATTACCACCTGAACCATGCTTGTGGGCTCTACACGTAGATGGATCATCAAACCAGCAAGGCAGTGGAGCTGGTGTGATATTGGAGGGTCCGGGTAGCATAGTGATTTAACAATCACTCCGATTCAGTTTTAAAGCTTCTAACAACCAAGCCGAGTATGAGGCTCTTTTAGCTAGCTTGCGTTTGGCAAACGACCTAGGCATCAAACGGGTCAAATGTTGGAGTGATTCACAAGTAGTGACAGGACAGGTCAACGACACATTCCAAATCAAAGAGCCAACACTACTTCTGTACTTCCATGCATTCCAAAAATTGAAATCTAATTTTGAAGACGTCCACGTTGAGTACACACCTCGGGAACTCAACGTAAGAGCCGACCAGTTGGCCAAGCTAGCAAGCAGCAAGAAGGCTAGCCACTTGCGCAACATGATACAACAAGAACTACCAAGTCCAAGCATCGAGGGAGCCGAATGCTTGCACATCCAGCAAGGAAGCCCTAATTGGATGACCGGCATAGTTAACCATCTCTTGATTGGAGAGCTACCCATTGACCCCCTTGAAGCTAAGAAGATGCGAACCATGGCCGCACGATATACCTTAGTAGCTGGAGAGCTATATAAGAGGAGCGTCTCATCCCCCCTTCTGAAATGCTTAACACCTGAACAAGCACATTACGTCCTCCGAGAAATCTACGAAGGCATATGCAGAACTCACTCGGGAGGGCGAACTCTCGCAGCTAAGGTCGTTCGGGCCGGTTACTATTGGCCGACTCTAACGGCTGATTGTACCAAGTTCGTTCAACAATGCCAACCGTGTCAACGACACGGACCCTTAACGAATCAACCAGTCGAAGATCTGCACTTCATCACGACCTCATGGCCCTTCTCTGTATATGGAATGGATATCTTGGGGCCATTCCCGCCAGCAAAAGGGCAAGTGAAATTCTTGATAGTGGCCGTCGATCACTTCACAAAGTGGATCGAAGCAGAAGCGGTTGCCGTCATCTCAGCGAGCAATGTACAAAAGTTCTTCTAGAAAAATGTCATCACCCGGTTCGGGGTACCTCATGCTCTCATCACGGGCAACGACCTCCAATTCACGGACCGTCGTTTCAATGAATTTCTTGATGGACTTCATATCAAACACAGGATGACGTTTGTAGAGCACCCTCAGTCCAATGGTCAAGCCGAAGCAGCAAACAAGGTCATCCTAAGAGAGCTAAAGAGACGGCTCGAACAGGCTAAGGGACAATGGCCCAATCACGTGCCCGAAATCTTGTGGGCATACAGATGCACCCCGCAAAGCTCCACCAAAGAAACGCCCTTTCGGCTAACCTATGGCACGGACGCCATGATACCAGTCGAGATTGGGGAGCCATCACTGAGGCAGCAACAATTCAGCGAGGAAACCAATGCCGAAGCACTTAGCGTGGAGCTAGATTTGATTGAAGAAGCGAGAGATCAGGCACTCATAAACATGGAAGCATGTAGAACAAGAGCATCCCGGAAACACAGAACCAAAGTTTGACCCCGAGAGTTTCACCAAGGTGACCTTGTCTGGAGAGCCGCCGGGGAAGCCAGAAAGGATAGGCTCCATGGAAAATTAGCCGCCAATTGGGACGGGCCGTTTCGAGTGCGGCACAATCTCAATAATGAAGCTTATAAACTCGAAGAACTCAATGGGAAGATCGTCCCTCGAACTTGGAATGTCACACACTTGAAGCACTACTTTAGTTAGCAAACATTATGTAATTTTTTCGGTGCACTCTTTTCCTTTTCTCAGGTTTTGTCCTCTTATAAAAATGTGAAAGAGGTTTTTCTGAGAAAAGATTTTTAATGAGGCACCACATCAATGAAACAAACCCTTTTGAAGGAATACCTTACATTTGCTCTCGAGTTACTCTAACACTTAAAAACTTGAACCCTCCCGAGTACTCCTACTCGGTCAAGGATGAACAACTAGAACCCTCCCGAGTACTCCTACTCGGCCAAGGATGAACAAATTTGAACCCTCCCGAGTATTCCTACTCGGTCAAGCCTGAACAACTTTGAACCCTCTCGAGTACTCTCACTCGGCTAAGGACAATGCAATTCTCTCCCAAGGTCATGCACTTGGGTTAGGATGATTAAGTAAACCCTTCCGGGTACCCTCACTTGGCCAGGGTTGAATACCGAATACCCTTCCCAAGCTCACGCACTTAGGTTAAGATGGTTAAGTAAACCTTCTCGAGAACCCTCACTCGGCCAAGATTGAGCACCAAATATCCTTCCCAAGCTCATGCACTTGGGTAAGGATGATTAAGTAAACCCTCAAGCACCCTCCAAGTACCGCGCATGTACAACTACTTAGCGATAACTTCAATTTGAACGAAGAAACACAAGGAAGTGATACACAATAAATTCTCATTAAGTTTGGTTGGGTATCCACAAAATAAGAGCGTTCAAAGCTCCAATACACATACATCAACAAGTTCTTCACCAAACTATTATAGTTAGCAACGAATTGCTTGTTCCTCTCGGTGATGTGAACTTGATTTATTTGTGCCAGTGATCTTCCAAGGTGGTCTTCGATTGGAACTTGGACGAGGTGGAAGAAATTTGTAGGAAGAAATTAGGGAAAATGTGAACATCTTACGAAACTAGAAAGAAATTCTAAAATAGTTTTCAAGTAAAATTACAAATCTTCTAGTCTTCCCTTAGGCGATGAACTCGCGCAAGAGCACCACCATGTTTTGGGAGAGCTCCTTCGAGAGCGTCTATGGATGTAGAGTACCACCACGTTTCGGGAGAGCTCCTTTGAGAGCGTCTATGGATTTGGAGCACTAACAAGTAGGGTTTTCATCAGTCGAAGGTCAGCAAGAGAAGAGCCCGCGAAAGTGTTAAGAGTCCGTCGAGAGGGTTCGCTTGCATGTGTGTTGAATGACATGAAAATTTGGCCTTCACTTCTACATCGGTCAAAAGTAAACCAGATGTAGAATAACTTCGTGATTTCATTTCTACATCAGTCAATAACAAAATCAATGTAGAATCTTTCATATCTACAGTGTTTCTACACAAAACTGATATAAATATGTTTACATCTTCTATTTATTTATAAAATTGCCACCGCGTTTTTTATTTACATCATTTCTATTGAAATCGATGTAGATATAGCAATGTTGAATAGTATTTTTCTACTAATGTCTTAATAATATTTTTTAAAAAGTTGTTGTATTACATTGTTTATAACAAAAAAATTGATTAATAATAAGATTAATTATAAAATTACTACTTTTTATTTATTATTTAAATTTTATTGCTATTTAAAAAATATGTGACAATTTATGAGACAGAGAAAATAATTAATTATATATCAAAATCAATGATTAATAATTATTTAATTGTTGAGTATATGTCAATTATTTTTTTTTAACCATAGAAATCATTGTTGAACTTTATGATAAAAGCTTTACAACAACACTCATATACACATCTAGCT